GGTGTAGCTTCAGGGGGCAGGAGGGACATGCGTTTCACGCCATGATACTGGAACGGAACAAATCTAGTGCGAGGCACTTCGGTGTTGCTCCAAAGCGCTCCGGGTTCTCGTTTTTCGAACTGTTCGCGAACCATCCTGGAACTGCGCAGAACTAGTTGCGTACTTATTAAGTCCTTAGAACTGTGCTCAGATCGTTTGGAATTGATCAGAGTTTGAAAAAACCCGAACATGTTTTATTTTATTTTTTTTACAGAGCAGGCGAACGCGATAATTGTTGAAATAAATCTTGAAGCTTTTGTACTTTGTAGTGTCGTTTTTTTTACCCAACAATTCTCCCCGGGATTTTTGCCGCCCTTCGATTTTGCCGCCCCGTGCAGGGGCACAGGCTGCACGGGTCCTGGAGCCGGCCCTGGCGTTATCCTTTGTTAAGAGTTACCGGCCCCTAGGCGCTCAATGGAAAATATTTTTATGGCAGCAGAAAGTCCTTTGAAAACTATCATCAAATATAAAGTTTGGTCAATTTCAGAGCATAAATAGCACTGGTAGCACGCTTTTTCCCAAATTTGTTAACAGTTGTCGACCCCTAGGGGCTCCATGGAAAATATTTTCACGGCAGCAAAAAGTCCTTCAAAAACTATCATCAAATATAAGGTTTGGTTAATATTAGTGCATAATTAATGCTGGTTGCACGTTTTTTCCCAAATTTGTTGAGAGTGAACGCTAGGCGCTCAATAGAAAATATTTTTATGGCAGCAGAAAGTCCTTCAAAAACTATCTATCATCAAATATTGATCGGTTAATTTCAGTGCATAATACAATACACGGTGAATCTTAACAGGATATTAACTATTTTCTAGTTGTACGGACCCTTATTTTCTATTTTAGATTTTATAAATTTCTGATGTCCCAAAACCAATGACGTATTGCACTTATATTAATGGTACTTTCCATAAGAACTTGATGTATTAGAGAGAGACAGTGACGTAGTCACGATGCTCTGGGCCCGTGTTCAAAAATTTTACCGGGCCCCTACTCCTGCGAGATGAAAAAACTGAGAAATGATAGAAATATATACTTTTTTTTTCTCAAAAATACAGGGTGAACCTAAAGTATGGAGCATATTCAATATAAAATAAATGAAGGCGTTTTCGAAAAAAACGCTCGGACACGTCGATTCTTGCTTGAGATCTTTTCAAATCAATGTTTTTATGCAAGAACAGCTGTACCGTTATCAACTTTATTTTTTTAATGGTAGCCCCTGTATATTATGACATTTCTGTTTTCTGCGGAAAATTCTAGACATATTTCATATACAATGTCATGCCAGAAATACTCTTTATGTTAAAGCTGAACCCACCTAATTAGAGGGCAGCACAACTTGAGCACAACTAAGCGCAATGCAGGGATTGCAACGTATCTTGAGTTGGCATACCTGGCAATCCTGGCATACTATAGAGTGGTTCGGCCGTACTAATGAATTTTGAAGATATGCGACACGCGACAAGCGGTAAAATCGGAAAGTTTTTATAAAAGAATAAAAGAAATCATAAGTCAAATAAGTCTGTAAGAAAGTGGCTATAGATATATTATTTTTTTATTGAAGTGAAACTTTTTAGGGTCGGTTTCTCAATAGCGAGTCACCTCCGGGTTGGTTTCAACTCCAGGGTAAACATGTCCAGTTGCAATGTTTACCCTGGAGTTATACTTAACCTAGGGGTGACTTGCCATTGAGAAACCGGCCCTTTGGCATCGGTCTGATATTTGGACGAGAATGGAAAGTGGTTTAAAAGACGCGTCACGTAACGTCACATTTTGGCAAATTTCGTTACACAATAGACGATAGAGAAGAAATATATAACGTAGAGAGGCAGAGAAAGATAGCGAATGGCAATGACAGCCGACGAACGATTGACACAAATCAAGGATTATAAGCAAAGATGATTGCCTATTATTGTCAAGCTCCGATACCTTTGGGAAGTCACTGAACATGCGCTTCTCGTTTCTGTGTGGCCCTTCGTCTTTACCCGATCAGTGCTTTACCTTGACTCATACTCTTAAGTCTAAAAGTTGTATGAGGGAGGGAATAGTTTTTAGGAAGTTTCAATTCTTAAAACATGTATACACATGATTTTTATTTTTATATAAATTAGCTTCTTTTTACCTTATAGGAGAAAAAGAGAAAAAATAATATTGACATGTAGAACCGGGCCCCTTGAGCTACCGGGCCCGTGTTGCGGGGAACACGCGGAACAACGGTGACTACGCCCCTGGAGAGAAACACAAGAGAATTTTGGTAGGAAGTTACTAAAAAGTTTAAAAAAAAAATATTTTTTCGAATAAATACGATATCTCATAGGTTTTGGGACATCAGAAGCTCTTAGCTCTTAAAATCTGAAATAAAAATTACAAGGTCGTACCTATTTAAAAAAATAAAGTTGATGATGGTGACCCAAAGACAAAACGTCAGATTTTAAATTTGAAAATGTCATCTTGTAGAGTAGAAAAAGTTGTTACGATGAGGAGATATTTATTTTGAAATATCTCCTCAAATAACCTCAAGAAAAATAAAAAATCTTTTTTGCAAAATTTCGGTTTTTTCCGGATATCTCGGACAATGTTTGGAATTTTTCAAATATCAAAGTACCATTTTATTGAGCGTTGAATTCCGCAACTTTTTTCCCATTTAACCAAAATTGTATCTCTTACCGTTTCCGAAATCCCAATGTAGTTACTTTTACCTGGGACACCCACCCTGTATAAACAATTTTTTTGCCAAACAACTTGTTTCGGCGAGATATATACCTACTCTGATGCCAATAAAAAAACCTCACTTTAAGATTCACCCTGTATAGGGCTGGTAGCACGATTTTTCCCAAATTTATTATGATTGAACGGCCCCTAGGGGCTCAATGGAAAATATTTTTATGGCAGCAGAAAGTCCTTTGAAGATCATCCAAGTATGAGGTTTGGTTAATTTAGTGCATGAATAGCGCTGGTAGCCCGTTTTCCCCGAATTTGTTAACAGTAATCGGCCCCTAGGGGCTCAATAGAAAATATTTTTTGTGGCAGCAGAAAGACCTTTCAAATCTATCATCAAATATAAAGTTTGGATAATTCAAGTGCATAAATAAGCGCTGGTAGCACGCTTTTTCCCAAATTTGTTAAGAATAATCGGCCCACTTAGGGCTCAATAGAGAATGTTTTCATGGCAACAACCCTTTTAAAACTATCATGCATCAAATATAAAGTTTGATTCATTTTGGTCTACAAATAGCGCTGGTAGCTCGTTTTTTCCCGTATTTGTTGAGAGTAATCGGCCCCTAGGGGAAAAATAGAAAATATTTTTACGGCAGCAGAAAGTCGTTTAAAATCTATCATCAGATATAGAGTTTGGTTAATTTAAGTGCATAAGTAGCGCTGGTAGCACACTTTTTCCCAAATTTGTTAAGGGTATTCATTCAGCCCCTAGGGGCTCATTGGAGAATATTTTTATGGCAACAAAAAGTACCTACCTACTTTCAAAACTATCATATTAAATATAAGGTTTAATCAATATTGATGCATATAAACAGCGCTGGTAGCACTTTTTGTTAAGAGTAAACGGCCCCAAATGGATTAATGAAAAATCCTTTGATAACAGCACAAAGCGAGAGAGCCCACACATTTTTAAATATGAAATTTGATTATTTTGGTGAATAAATTGCGCTGGTAGCACGCTTTTTCCCAAATTTGTTAAGAGTAAACGACCCTTAGCGGCTCATTGGAGAATATTTTTATGGCAGCAGAAACGCTTTCAAAAACTATTTCTATATTTTAAGTTCCGTTAATTTCTATCAATAATTAGGTTTGCCAGCACGAGTTTTTGTATTTTGGTCAGTCAAAAATATACCCATCGTTGTCATAATGTTAATTAAAAATAAGTTCGTTATGTCACGTACAAGCAATACATTTATTGCAGTGCTTCTGTGATTATTGTTTATTTGCTTATATTTAAGATAAAAGTGTAATACCTATTTAAGCATAAATACCTTTGGTAAATAAACTTATATCATCATTATTATGAATCAATTAATTGCATGTCAAATTATTATGTTCATTGATATCATGAGCAGTGGCGGCCAGTGGCAACCTAGTGTGGTTGTGCGCTCTTGGAAAATTTTTTGGAGGTGCCACGTCCTGTTTTACATTTATTTTGTATGTTGATTTTTTTTCTTTTTACTTTAGGAAAAATTATCGAAAACAAAAATATATGTATTTAAATGAGGCTTGAATGTTTGTATTCTAGCCATAATACATAATTGATATTGAAATTTATAATTAAAAAAAAAACCGCGAACAACAAAGTTGTCAAACCGCCAAAATGGTGAAAAAACATCGAAATATTCTCGATTGAGTGGAAACAACATTGGAAGTGTGTATTCAAATAGCGCACGGCGCATCCCTTTCATCGGGCGACTTTACCGTATATTCCCGATCAATCCCACAGCGAGAAAACACATTTACCCAGAGCGCCGAACGATTCCACACCGACCACCCGGACCACCAGCATAACCAAGCGGGAGAAAAAAATATACAAGACAGGCGCAGGGCGCGCTTTCGTTCCGTTCGTGCGAATTTAAAAATAGAAAAATGAGTAGATATTTATCCTAATTTAGAAAATTGGATAGGTATTTTTTAATTGAAGTTTCTTTTCTTTCTAAAATTTTAATTTTATTTTCTTGCTTGGTTTTTGGAGGCAGTGCGCGCGCACGAGCGCACTTATTGAGAAGCCGCCCCTGATCATGAGCCATAATCCTTTCAGAGAAAGCCTTTAAAATTCCTATATATGTTTTTTTTTTAAATATCTAATAATTTATTGTACTGAATCTTTTCTGTAGCGTAGGACAAACAAATTCACATCCACCAAAAAGTGAAAAACGGCAAAACAATCCGTCCGGTCCTGTTCGATACCTGCCTGCCATCAAAACTTCAGTTCGCCGATGTTATTACCACATAAAACGCGGCTTTAAACTGCAGTCCGCAGCACATGCAGCAGGGTCCCCACCACCACCACGCTCAAAGTCGTAAATTCTCGTCTGGCCGTTGCATTTTCGATGCAATTCTCTCTCTGCCTCTTGCCTGCTTACTGAGCTTACTTTGGTTCAAATACTGACGGACTGTCAAAGTGTATACTGCATATGTATTTTGATTTCTCGCGAGTCGCGACGCCGTCTTTCTGTTCGTTCGTCAGTTAGGACTCAGCCGTCCGCTTTTTCCGAACTTTTGTGACTAGTGCAAAACAGTGTAGATTACAGTGCTACAATGTCCGATACTCCAGAATACAGTGATTCAAAAATGGATATTGCCAAAGCCGCTTCGTCTTCATCCAGCAACAGTCGACGCACACCACCGAATTGCGCCCGGTGCAGCAACCACCGCAAAAAGATCGCCCTTAAGGGCCACAAGCGCTATTGCATGTACCGGAACTGTAAATGCCAAAAATGCCAATTGACGTCCGAGCGTCAAAGAGTCATGGCCATGCAAACTGCTTTACGCAGAGCTCAGGCTCAAGATGAAGCTATGCTTAAAAATGGAAATATAGATTTGAATAATATGTTACCAGCAGCCGCACAGAAAACTCCAAGCCCTATGCTGGATAGAGGCAGTTTAGACTGTGACTCTTCAGCTTCTTCGCAATGCTCAAATCCTCCAATTCCCATGGGCACTAGTAGCTCGAGCAGAAAAGTTTCACCGGTTATTGCTGTTGCTGCTACCAGTACATCTCAGGTGCAAGTTGGAGTTAATAACGAAGTTTTACCTTATGAATATAAAGGTAAGTGCCAAATTATATGCCCATTACGTTGATATAAAGACTGCCATGAGTAAAGCTGATTTACACTGGTGGACCACCCATACTGACTATTTATGAGTTATCAAAGACCAAAAAAAATTTGTACTTACGCACTTATATTTAGTTGTCTAGGGCAAATTTGAGAGCAGTTTCAGCTTCTTTAGCTGATAGAGCTCACTTCAAAGAAAAAAATATGAATTCAATAAAATTATCTTTTCGTCATTTGAAATGAAAATCTTGATGAAATAATTTAAAAAATTCCAGATAACTCATTTGAGTTTTCAATGAATTTTTAACCACAGTATGTACGATTTTCAATTTTTTTTTTTTTTTAACTTTAGCTTATACATTCACATAGTAAAAAACTGCTGCTAATGACCACTGATACAGAAGTTGTCAATAAAGAAATGAGTTAAATTAATTACATTAAGCTACTTTCGGTGTTTAATGCATTCCGGAATTGAACCTCAAATTTAGTATGCATTTACATAGAAAGAAACTGATCTACAAGAAGAAAACTGGTATTTATTTTCAATTATAATTTACTTTACTAGTTATCTGTTATGTCATTAATTTTAATATCAATTTCATGCGCTTATAGTGAATTTTTGGGATATGACAGGTTTATTCCAAATCAGCAATTACAATTCATAATAGGTACCTACTGCCTACGAAGGACTCTGACATCGTTTGAAAGTTAATTTTATAGTTTGAAGGGGTTTATTAGTTGTGGTTGTGATTCCTTAGGAACAGTATTTTACCAAGGGTTTGAATCATAAAAAACGCATTTCATGTTATTGAATGGTGGACAAAACGGGGGAAAAAGGTGAATAATAGAAGATAAATTATTTTTGATGAGACAAAAAGGCGAAGGGGCTGGCCGTGTATTGTCAAGTCATTTATTACCGGGTTATTACATAAAAGTCCAAATTAATTTGTTTATGTCTTTTAATAACTAAGTAATATTATAATTCTTATCGTTATACGGTGATGTTTTCAAGCCATCAACTTATTTTATTACCTAATAAAACTGTTACAAGTAGATGTTAGTGGTCTTTCTGGTTAAAATTTGGAAACCCATGTTTCTTCGTTAATCTCGCAGTCGTATTTATTCCCAAAAAATAGGATTATGTTATGAGTTGGAAAAGGGGATCTTTTTTGACCTTCGAGTCAGTAAAAAAATCCCTCAGAAGTATTAGGGTGTTTGGGTTAGTTTGTAGTAGTCAGAAGAGACGAAATCCTGACCGAGTTTCTTGATATTCATTGCCTGAAAGTTTAGAAAATGAAGATAATAATGACGATGATCGACATTCAAATTTTTTTCGTAATTTCAAAGTGTAGGTCCTGGTGTAGGTATTGTCTCTTGAGAGTTTGTACTTGGAGTTTATTTAAATTGTAAAATTGTATTCATATCACTGATTTTTATTCAAGAAAGAACTCTTAAAATCTTTAAATTGTTTATTGATGACAACACTTCAAAATTGAATACTTAAACATTTGAACTATTCCCAGATCTTCAAATGAGGATCTGGTGATCTGATGAAGTGAACTGCACTGTTGGGAGAGTTTGTACCTATGTACTTACTTCAAAAACTGTAGAAAATTGCAAATAATATGAATTGTAGAGATATTGGACGGTTTGTGTTAGCAACATATCTATTACTATAACCCTTTTTGTACCTACATATTATTTGTTAAAATAAAATTTCCTGTTGCGGTGTCTGGTTAGCTCTTCAGACCCATCAATGATGTTCTAAATTTGCTATAAACCGTTTTTTAACCCATTTCTTGAACAAATTACTATTTATGAAATAATGTTCGTCTACACTTTTTAAATTGGTGAAAAATACCAAGCTTCACCCTATATAAATAATCCTCAAAAATTCCCGGCATGTCTCTAATACGTGCGATCTTACCATGATTTTTAACTGCTCCAGTTTAGAATATCTAGGTTTCATAAAAAAATGCTGAGTTTTGAACTTTTCTTCCCAAGCCTTTTTTTTTAAAACTGCACCTACCGACAAATTTTTTGTGGAGGTTCGCATAAATATCTCCGATTGCAGTCTTTCTTAATATGAGATCCCAAATTTACAGTACCATTAAACTGTCAAATATGCAATCTGACAAATAAAAACGCAATCTGTAATTGGCTGGCCAGTTATCCGCCGACCAATGGAATTGAAGAACGGTAATTTATCCTGCAGATAGCTACCAGCAAGTTTATCTGAAGATGAATAAACCGGGCCTTAGTCTACTTTCTTTTACTTTTTTGATTTTCTGAATATTTTCTAACAGAGCTTCCACTTATTCCTCAGGCATTTATGTAATAGGGATAGGTACTCTCTCCAGTCAAATTCAGTGTAGTCTCAACAATAATCATAATTATTATTTTTTTAATGCACAAAACACCAGAAAGGTGAATTTTTGTAGGCGTTTCACCTCCTCTTACCACCACAAGTGAAGAGGTAAAGGATAACGCACGGCTGCGGAACATGGGATTTTTGATGGACTGTATGGATTTTGCCAATTTTTTGATGAATTGAATTTGAATGTCGTAGAGGATTTAAGATTTAATTCTATTGCGGTGCTTGAAAATCCCATGCTAGCCGTGCGTTTTCCTTTTTCTGGAATTTCCACCTTAAGATTCTTCAATCAAAATTTGTCAAGAATGTTTAATGTTCGATAATTGGAGAATTTGAAACACAGAACGCAAACTGTGTATCCCACATTAAAGAAAAAACGTGGACATTGTGTTTCAGCTCCACTTATGGCCATTTGCACCGCTATAACTTAAGGAACATTTAATCCTAGTGGAGCTTTGAATGTGACTCTTGTAGAAACAAAAGTCACATTCAAAGCTCCACTTAGATTAAATATCCCTTAAGTGATATCCGTGCAAATGGCCATTAAACCTATATTAAATAATAATCCAAATGACCACTCAAGCTATGAAAGTCATGACTTCTGGGAGGAATAGGGGAGTTTATTTCAACCCTCCGACGCTACAATATTTGTATTGCTCTACGAAATTAGATTGAGATTGCTCTGATAAAATTCTTGTGTGTCAAGACACCTATTCAAAAAGCCTGTTTCGTTTTACTTCAAGTTTTTTTGTTGCCTGGTGATGGTGCCAAAATTCCAATTGGGACACTAATGTATGATTATTAATTAACCACTAAACCTTTCGCAGAAGCGTTATTTTTATTTACTCACCATAATTGAATCGTTATACAAACGGGGTAGGTCTGTAGATACCTACTCTTATTCTCAGGCTAAACACAATAAATATATGTTCTGTGTGTGAGAATCGTCCACCTCTATTTCCGCCTCCTTTGGCCAATCAGGACGGGAACATTTAACGAGGGGCCACCAGAGCTCTTCCGATTTTACACAGAAACTTTGGGCGTGTACCCTTGGGTGGCACTATTGTCTTTCTTGGTGCAACTTATCGACTGGGAATTTAAGACCCGGAATGTGAGATATCACCGCGCACGGAACCATATGTTCTTTGTCTCTTATGAAACAAATTCAATATTATAGGGTTATAATAACTGTATCCTCCACGACATGGCGAACAAATTTCAAATTCGGCCTATCGTTTTTTCAAAATCCTCTTGATATTATTCCTTTCAAATTTCAAATACGGACGAACTTTGAACGTTTTTTTTATGCCTGTGCGATACGTATATTGTCACGGTTTCCGCGAGTCCACTTTAAAAACTCTCTTTACTAGTAATAACAACTCTTATTAGACTAATTGACTTATTGCTTCTACTTAACTTCATACAACAAATCATTTATTCAAACTGACCACAACTTACATGTTACGCGCTTTATATGTATACATACGTAAATACTCGTTTATTTGATGTGATTTCGAAACACTGCTTTCCTCTAGGAGACAGATCATCCCGATCTGACAATTTATTCTCGTGACAAGCCTTCACCCTTCCAGATGCACCACCTTCTTTTCTACGTCTATACCTCCTATTCACATTCATAATCATCCAATGATTCCCCATTCCCTTACTACCACCATGTCTTTGTAAATATTTTCTTCTGGATCTGTGTTCTTCGTCATACTTGTTATCATCTTTCTTCATCAATTCAACTATTCACGTGGTTAGTATCTCTATGTCTGGCAGGGCCGTATCTAGGGGGGGGTTTTGGGGGTTCAAACCCCCCCCCCCCCAAAAATAATAAAATTCAAAAAATTTAACTTAAAAACAAACAACACTTATTAAATACTTATTTATTTTTTTTATTTTTATTACTAGTGTAGCAATTTTTTTTTGCCACTTTGTAACCCCCCCAAAATTTTAGTCTAGATACGGCCCTGATGTCTGGTAAATGAATGCCATGTGAGCCATATTTTCGTGCTCAGAGTATTCAATACGCTTCAAATACATTTCTTGTTAAATACATACGTCACATGTAGTGATGCCGCGAGACGAGACGAGATGAGAATATGCTCTCTCTCGTCATGTCTCGAAAGTTCGAGTGAAAATGAGTCACTACTTTCATGTCCATACAGGTCCACTCTCCCGCCTAAGTGGTTCTTTTTCTCATGGACCGACGTCACAGCAGCTAAAAAGAATGGCCACCTGTTCCTTGTTGACTGCCACGATGCCATATTCCACCAATGTTTTTGTTTCCGCTTTTGCTTCCATCGCTCTCCAGATTTTCCTTGACTCACTTGATCACTCAAAATCGAAGGCTTTCAACGCTGATAAATTCTGAGACTGTGCTTGAATTGAATCGGCTGGATAAAGCATCCGCGTTGTTATGCAGTTTATGTTTGAGTTGAAAATCGGACTGTTGTAAAAGTCAAAAATAGCTTTATTGTTATAAGAACAAGTATCTATGGAAAATGCATCCTCTTCTTCTTAAAGTGCCATACAGATTCCTGCGTAGGCGCCATCTTTCTCCATATCAAATATATTTATTTTCAATACAGCGGTTTGTAATGTCTGGAAGTCCTG